TGATAAAGTAAAATGTATTTCCTTATTGCGTAGTTTTTCGGATTGCATTTCATCTTCCATGGAAAATTTAGGAAATACGAATACGGTAGAGATGGAGATTGTATATTCGACACACCGGTTGTACGTTATCCTTATCGTATGCCTGAGGTTGAAAGGGGTATTCTCCGAAATATGATTCAAGAACTTTTGGATAATGAACTCATCCGCGAATCCAATTCTCCGTACTCCAGCCCGATTGCACTTGTTAAAAAAAAGGATGGAGGCTATAGAATGTGCGTTGATTTTAGACATTAAGTAATAATAATACTTTTGTTGGAATATTTATATTATTGCCCCGTAACAAAGAGGCCTTGTTCTTTTTGCCGATCGTAAAATGTATCGGCGTCTCAGGCAAAAAGGACAGGGAGGGCAAGTTGCGGTGAGGAGATAATTAGGGTATTATTATGCGATGTTTTTTGGGTTTACTATAAGTTAGGTAAGACGTAGTTGTCGAACAGAGAGGATTAAACTCGATTCTGCTTCATTACGTTATTTTATTTGATTATGCTTACACTTTTGATGAAGTATTCATAACACTTTGTTTCAGGTTTCATCCGAAAAATAGAAGTATGAAGCTTAGGAAAGGGAAAAATTCATCAATGTATCTAATATTCTCCCAGTTGTGATTGATATGCAAGATTCAGACTCGGAGGAAGAAATTTTTTCCGAGTAGTTTTTGTTCCTCGTTGTTGCTCTTTGCGTTATGGGTTTTCGTTGTTCTGGTTGTTGAAGTTTTGAGAGTTTTTCAAAAATAAACCTATCTAATTGATATTTGTTTTCTCCCAAATATGTGACAGGTTCTATTTTGTTCGTTCATATAAATACGACACAGAACCAAGTTGCCATAATCTCATTATAACAAAATAATAATATGTCCGTAAATGGCATTTTTTGAGAATGACCGTGTTATGCCCATGTTTCTAGTATAACACGATGACTAACGTCCACGTTGCGAAAACCCTTACAAAATAGAATTTTAATTTAGTTTTTAGGATTGCATATACGAACGTACTGAAGTATATAAGTGACTATTCCATTTAATAAATGCAAGTACTATAGTAAATGCTTTACATCTTTTTAATAAAGTTACCATAAATAAGTTCCATCCAGTTTTGAGCATTATTGAAGGCGAAGAAAAACTGGATGTCTCGCCCCTCCTCGGCAAAACAACGTTGCGTGTTAAAAGAAACTGAAGGCCAAAACGTTACCCAAAAGCAGTACATGCAATACTATGTCCATAACTCGCGAAGCGTCACATGTTTGCAAAAATGCAAAAAAGGTCAATACGATATGTGTTTGCTTTCAAAAACTTTGGTGTAGACAGATTTTCTCTCATTTTGCCATGTATTTTACAGCTCAACTAGGTATTTTGTGTTATATTAATAGTTTATGTGTAAAAACTGAAGATTTTAATTTTAGGGTTTAGATTTTAATAATAGTTTTAATAAAAAAATATATTTTTCCACATTTTTTAAAACTAATGTTCATGTATACTTAGTTATTTTGATTTTGTGTACCCGAATAGATGTGTTGAACCAATAGCAGTGGGCCGAGGTATCCGACAGGGAGACTCCCTGAGTCCCCTTCTCTTCAACATTATCATGGACGAAGTAATAAGAAATGTACGATTACTGAGAGGATACAGAATGGGCGACCATGAAATCAATATTCTGTGCTACGCTGATGACGCCGTACTGGTGGCTGAAAGTGAAGACGATCTGCAACGACTATTACATCGATTTAACTGCACTGCCAAATCACTTAATATGATAATATCGGCCCAAAAAACTAAATGCATGACAACATCAAAAACACCATTAAGATGCAAATTAGAAGTTGAAGGCAAAATCATCCAGCAGGTAATGAAATTTAAATATTTGGGCATAGAAATCTCGGGTTATGGTGATGTGGAGGCAGAGGTCAGAGAGCAAACAACAAGGGCAACAAGAATAGCAGGATGCTTAAGCGACACAATTTGGCGAAATAAAAACATTAAAATCGAAACCAAATCGAGAATTTACAAGGCAATAGTAAGACCAACCATGACATACACCGCAGAAACCCGACCAGACACAGCGAAAACTAAACAATTACTAGAGACAACCGAAATGAGGATACTTCGTAGAATAACTGGAAAAACGCTCTTGGACAGAGAGAGGAGCGAAAATATAAGACGAACATGCAGGGTGGAAAACGTTAATGCGTGGGTATTGCGTAGAAAGAAAGAATGGAACGAGCATATTAGTAGAATGGACAACAGAAGAATAGTCAGAATTGCACGCGACAAATCACCATTGGGTCGCAGGAGCTTAGGTCGCCCCCGAAAACGATGGAGTGACAACCTGGCAGTGGGATAGGCAGAGACGACGAAAATGAACATGCAATTTGCCTAGACTAAAGTAGGAAGAAGAAGAAGAAGAAGAATAGATGTGTATTCTTATGAAATAACTGTTTTATGTTGTGTCCCAGGAATTAAAACAGAAATGATCACCCGTGGGCACGTTGTGCTCAACGTGTTAAAATCGCAACCAAACTCGCGACCTATGGCATAGTAGGAAACACTCGATTCGCTCACGAGAATCTAAGATTTTAATGTGACACCAGAGACCAAATTCATTCCAATTTAAAGGAGAATTTTGAAAATACTATTTACAAAACTTCTGGTTTCAATTCCGATTCGAATCATCTTGTCGGTTTCTTCAGAGCTAAAGTGAAACTGTTTTCAGTTTAACTCTGAAGAAGCCATCAGGACGATTGGCGAAATGTTAGCCAGTTCGACTAAACAACAAACGCTGAATGAGGAATTAAAAAGTTTTTTAAATAGTATTACAGTAGCCCGTGGAAGTTTCTTTGAAAAATTATCATTTTAAAAATATTTTTTATTTTTAAAGAAATCCGTGGCTTATTTTTATTTGTTTTAAAAATATTTAGTAGAAAAAATGAATTTTCATGCTTAAGTTGTTTGGAAATCCGCCAGAATTCCTTCAAGGTGTACACCCTACTCTCACTGTGGTGTGCCCGTTGCGTTTATTTCAAAAACGGAGAGCGCGCGTGTTGCTAACTTTCTTTCAACGAAAAGCACAAATTACATTCAAAAGCTGATTTTATTTAAAATATAATATTATGTTGTTGGGGAAAGTCCCGATCGAAGTCATTTGATTATTTAATTCTAAAAATTTCATAAAAAATAGAGGAAAAAAGTAATACTTGTGTAAGTGCTCAAGCCCATCAAACATGGTGCTTGGTGTGCCAGTGGCCGCACATTATTGGAGCAGTTGCTCGACCTTCTTCCAGCAAGCAAAAGCTATCCAAGAATTTAATTAAAAGCAGGATAATATAGCCCAAAATTATAAACCAACTAAAGTAACTACGAAAAGTATGACGCACAAAATGATATACAAAAATTACATAAAATGGGCTCAACTCCAGCAGGCAAGGTCACAACAATATTTAAAAAGTAAATAACCAAGACTACCTCGTCCTTGCAATTCTTTTTAAAGTTTAAGATATAGTTCGCTTATTACCGTTCTGGAATGACGTCACGCGATTTTCAAATGACGTATTTCTTATATTACCTATATTTAAGAGGTTTGCGTTAACCAATGGCGAAAGCCAATCTAAACTTGTAACTTGTTGAAAGTGGCGGGCAAGCTCCGTTAAAAATTTAGCAAAACCGCCACCAGAGTTGGTGCAAAAGGGTTTTATAACTCCTACAACTAAAATTTTCTTGCAAATAAGGTCACAAGGTTTGACTAATGTAAATTCTAAATCTTTGCTTCATTTTTGTTTGTAATGTAATAAATTAACGCCAGTTAACCATTTTTATCAAAAACTACTTTCTTTCAATTCATCGTCACTGTTGTCTTCATCGATACTAATTACAAGTGGTGCAATGTCCAATATCTGTATGATCTTTCAAGCTTCTTAGATTACCATTTCTCTGTGGTCTATTTAATGTTTCTTTTCTTTAAACCACAAAAGAAATCTCTGGTTTGAACACGATTTTTTTCCTCAAAAGTCCGTTGTCAATCAATATAAACTTTATAGAGTAAGATTGCATTCATATTGTCATTGTAAATATTTAATTGCCCCCCTTAATAAATCCTCCCTTTCATCTAGCGTGACCCACAATGATGATGACCTTCACTAGCTTTTTTAGAACTTGTAGACATAGTGTTATCGTGTCAGCTGTTTCTAAACGAAGTTTCAAATACGGTGGTCATATCAATTTTTTTTTGATATATTCACTTAAGAAACGAAATCGCCTGTGGACGATGTGAGGTAAATCCATCAGGTATATTCTATTATTTGAGTTCTTCCACTTCTACCAATGTATTTTTTAGCTAGCATAACATATTCATTTTTCTCATACCTGCAGTATGTCGTGTCTGTTATTTTATTCTTTAACAAAGCTGTAAGTTTGGTTTTACCTCTTTTTGCTTTTAAGACATTCTGGACGTAACTCAATTTTTAGGTTGATTTTTTTTCAATTGAAAAAAGGCAAGATATTCAAAACCATTAACTGTAATTGCTTTCTAAAGAGTCACAACAAACCAATGTCAATTTTGTCAAATATATTCTGAAAGGCACATAACGAAAACCGGCATTGACTGTTATAAAGAAACGACACAAAATTTTTGTCTCTGTCAGTTGACTTATATTAAACAAAAATAACCAAAAATGACGTCATTCGAGAAATGTAATGCGTAATGTAATTTCAAAAAGTTGAAAATATTTTCTTTTATCTTCGCAGATTTACTTAATAAATCGTTTAATGCAAAGTTTTAGGACCGTCCGTTTTCCTAATACCGTACCACGATGCCCTTTCTGGGCCATCCGGTAAATTTGGTATATTGATATTACTACCACCTGTATTTAGGTCAATAATTCGCATGATTCTAAAAGATACGAGCGAATATTTCCGGCATTCTACTTTTACCTTCTTTATCTATTGTGTTTACCTGGAAAGGAATGCTCCACAGGGAGTGGAAACTAGGGCAGGAATTTACTATCCGGTCCGTATCGGTCGACATGAAATTAACAATTTCCCCGATCGAAAATTCGGAATTCAAGTCGGCGGCATTCGTGCTGAGCGTTTTCTTATAAATTATGGAAACCAAAGCGGCCCTCATCCGCAGTCCTACCATCGATATCAAAAAGTTGAAGTGGCAATCACAAAGGGCGCCTATAACATTAAGGGTAAGGTAAGTTTAGCTTATCCGATTAGAAACGTCTGACGACTACTACGCTGGATGCGAAACCAAACCTTTTTTCCAAAAATTTAATAAAACATTTATTCTAATTAAATCATTTTATAGATATTAAGTAGGAATTCAACTGAGCTGGCTTTTACCTGATGAAAATCTTTTTATCACACTTATATTAGAACAAAAAAAAGATATATACGTATTGATACGTGGATGATGTTTTACTTTGTTTCGCTGGAACGGAAAGATAGCTTTTTGCCATCGAGACGGAACTAGATAGCTCTTTAAACTTTCTGAACTATAACTAAATTACAAGACAAATTAGATTTTCCCATTTACCATAAACCCTAACACACGGACACAGTAATATATAACAAATCACCCCACCTCTTTTGTCCACAGGCTACCTAATATATAACTTTTCATGGAAAATTTCGAAAAATAATTAAATATTATAAAACAAATAGCATTTAACAACGATAACGATCTCTCTTTGATAGATAAGATCATAACTAAAAAAATATTTCAAATAATTCTGAACTATATCCATATTAAACGCCGGATCCAAAACATATAGGCCAATTAAGCAAAAAACTTTCCAAACATCCATCTAAATTTTTGGAAAAACAGTAGAAAGTTAAAATTTTGAACATAACTTGGGAAGGAATGGATCGGAATTTCTTAATGTCGAAATTAGTTCTAAATTATACACGGTCGGTTAAAACTAATGATTTTCCTACGAGATATAAAAATGGTGAAAAGAGCATTTTTCAAAATGGAACACTGTATATAAGCAAATATTCAGAAAGCACATTAAATTCACTTTCGAAGGATGTACCATGTCCCTATATAAATTGTTTGGATTCTGAAATAAAAGCAAATTTGTCGCAAATCTGGATTCCTTTGGCATACTTCAACTGATATGAATGTATTATTCAAGAAGAATAAAAAAATATTAGCGGATAGGCGAGGGTAATTATATACACGGTGTCTCATTTAAAATTTCATTGCTAATGCCAGTTTTCGAAGACGGCAATGTTGCAGGGTTTAAAATATTTTAGACTGATAGAGCATCGTCGCTTATGGAACTAATTATATTTTCAGAACAATACAATACAATACGCCTAAGGACGTCGTTGAAGTAGCTTGGGATTGGGAATAAAATCTGAATCAAATTACAGCGCACCAAACAAATACTTGCCAGTATTTGCAAAAATTTGAAGCAAAATTAACAAAATTAAGTACACATGTTTCTCAAGGAATTCTCCACCTGATGACCTTAGCAAATTTATTCCCCATCACCACCCTTCTGCAGGGGCGCGAAAATATTGCGCCCGTATACCTAAATATGAAAACTTCTGTACGATTTTAATGATATTCAGTACGCCTGAGTATGGGATGTAATCCGTTCAGATTTCATAATATTAGTCATAATATTAAAATCCATTCATACATAAGGGTGGAGGTTTCTTAAAATGTAATACACAAATTTGCGCAGACCATTGCTCGGGCCATCAATTAAAAGGTAATTCAGAGCAGATAAATAAAAAATATATTTCACAGATTATTGCATGTCGGGTATGTAAAAAGGTATATCTAAGGTATGTTTAATTTAATAGTACTGAAATATTCCCAAATTTTGCTTGCTTGGCAGCATAAATTACTAAAAGATTAGCAAAAAACTAATAAAGCTGCTTTTACTGAATTTTATTAGCTTAAAGAAGCTAATGAAGCTGCTTCGATCGAATTTAATTAGAGTGGTCAGTTTGTTAAATGCACAACCTAAAAAAGGTACCTTTATCCAAATACGTTTCATCTGTAGATGATTTTGTCTCCGTCAAAAATATTTGGAATATGTAGTTAATTTTGCTCTTTTTAACAGAACTAGTAATTTCTGAGCCGTCAAAGGTGTCGAAAAACACATTTTTATCAAAAAATTGTATGTTTTACCTAGTAGACGATTTTGTGTCCGTAAAAATATGTGGAATATGTAGTTAATTTTGCTCTTTTTAACAGGACTAGCCAGCTTATAATTTTTGGGACGCCGAAGGTGTCGAAAAACACATTTTTACCAAAAAATTGTACGTTTCAGCCTGTAGACGATTTAATTTTAACCTGTTTTCTTACATTTCTAAACTAACTAAACTAACAAAATTAACTAAAACATTTTATTTAATATTTAAAATTAAAAAGTATCTTTCAAATTAAAATGTGTGCCTCAAATTAAAAAGTGTTCTTCGAATTGAAATGTTTTTCTTCTAAAGGAGCTTCCTGTTCATCTAACTTTACTCGTATTTTTTGTTTATATTCATTCTTTAACAAGCTCCTCATATAGTTGGTCAAAGGTAATTAGACTAGGATATTGAAGGTCGGTATCGATTTCTTTCTTCAATTCCATAGTATGAGTAAAATATATTTTTTTACTATAGCCAACTACATAAGCTATTAAATTGACGTCAATATCGTTGGTATATTTTTTATATAGGACGCAACTGTTAATAAACTTGTCGGATTTATAGATGGAATAGTGGTATCCGTTTAAAGCCATTAGCTCTTGTCTGTTAGATATGTTTCGCATATAACAGTGGTATTTTAGATTTATTTCAATCTCTTGTTTTCGGGTTTCAAATAGAAAGTGACTGCATCTACACACACTACATGTGGTTTTTTGATCTTTAATATTTCCCGCAGATTTGTCGTGGATGAATCTATCGCATCTAATGTATTTAAAATAATGCTTTGAAGCTAAAAATTCAAACACTATGATTTTGATTTCATATTCATAGATGTGAATAATAAAATTTCTTGGTTATATAGACGAAATATTTCAGCATCAAAATTAATGTAAAATTAATGTCAAAGTAAAGTAAAATTAATGTCAAAGTCATGCTGATTATGAATACATAATATATGATAAAAGCTCCGCAATTTACTCCATCTTTTTGTTTTGAAATCAAGTGGAAAACGACAACATTCGATTTTTTAATATTCAAGCCAAGCTGATACTGATATCTTATAGTCGATCATTGAATATAAAGACGGATTAAAAATGTAGACTACATTTTAAACCTATTACTAAGAGCATCCAATGGTTAGTTTTGGTTAGTTTGTTGAACTCCGACTGGAATCCTACAAACCAAGGTCTCACTTGGCATCATCAATGTTGGCGAAACGTCTGCAGGATTCCAGTCGGAGTTCAACAAATGAACGGATGATATCCCGGAATATATTGTAATCACATTTTTCCATCCATATAAATTGAATTCAAACTCATGAATTTCATCCAAAAATGTAAGTTATGATTTGTACCTTAGAGATTCGTGACTGATCACAAAGGAGCTTAATAAAATGAAAAGAAGTGATCTAAACAGACATTTTTAGGAATGCCGGTTACTGGCAAGCATTTATGTAGTTAGAAGTTCGACACTTATATGCCTATTATGTTTTTTTGCTTTCATTTTAGATAATTTGTTACATGCCATTTTAACGAAGTGAGCGTAACATGACCTTAGAATCATCAAACAATTTTTAGATATCTGGACAATGTTACATCTAACGATTTGAAAATCCCTGTAATAATAGCAAATCTCCCATCTGTAGCAATGCATAGAAATACAGATCTTTTTTTTCTTAATTTGAATGTTAAGAATCTCTTATACCTACTAAAAGAACAGTTGGGCTACTGGAACAATGATATGGTTAATATTCACCACCAAGGCATACTAAAGAATAAGCCTGCAGCAACCGGTTCTATAACAGAACCCGGTGCATCAAAATAGGTCACACATGGTATTTGCGTTTTTCAGCAAATCAGCTTCTCCTTTGGTGTATAAGGATATCAACGTAGTTTTCGGAATCTGTACGTATTCTTTCAAAATATCGTTTTGTGTTGTCTTTAATATCAGATCCATGTAAGCAATTTTAGTCTTATCCTTTTCGCATTTAAGCTCATTTTGGATTTGCTTTTTGAAATACATCTAGGGCTCTAGTTTTATCACAGTTATAATCGTATAAAGAATCTCATTTGAGAGTTTTAAGTGTTCCGATCTAATTTTAGTAGGCGTACAGTTTCTAAGCATTTCTTTAATATCTACTCGTTCGTTCCCTTTTAAGTTATGTGTCAGTTGCTCCTTATGATTGGGTTCTCTAATGTTAGAAAATATCGAAACATCGACATTACTGTGGTCTTTAAAATAGTCAAATCTAATTTTTTGCTACGCTATTTCTCATCAAAACCCTTAATAGGTACAACGCAATATTCACCTTTTGTAAACATTAAATCCTCCATACTGTTGTGCCTGGATGTTGAATCGCTTTTGCAATTGCAAACCAACTTTTCCATGTGCGTTATAGAGTATGGATAATTTTTCATTTTGGTACATTTTAAAATTATATTTTGTTTGCGGTGGTTTATATCGCACGCTTCGGCCTATTCGATATTGACTTGTTTTCTGTAAATCAACAAATTGACTTTTTGCAAGTGGCATGCATCATTGTTAGTATTGAGAACGTTTTTTAGGTCAAATAGTTTGTTGTTATTGTTTTTTGGAATGTTTTTATTAATAAATGATTTTAAAATAAATTGTGTAGACATTATACCCTCGCTTAATTTGGCTATTCCTTTTTTTGTTACTGGTTATCGTTTCCGCATTCAGAACATAAAAATTTCCCTTAGAGGTCTTTTTAGTCTGAATGTTACTGATTTTACAAATTTCTTTGCTAATTCCACCATGATTTCCAGAATCCAACAAAGCTTCTTTACCATAACTAGTTTTGTCATTTTCCCTTTTCGCTCCTTTTTGATCTACATGTTCGAATTTTTTTAGCGGTTATTGACATTTTATTTAACATTTCAATCCTCGCCTTAAGTAGTAGAACTGAGAATAAGTCACTTGACAGCTGTTAAATCGGTCGCCATCTTGAACAGTAATGCCCACTTAAAGTTCTATACTTCGAAAAAAAAAACACAAATTACAAT